AATTCTTAAATTTTAAGAGGTGGGCAATCATGGGCATCTTTTATTTTTTTTGAAAAAACTATTTTTAATGGGTGGGCAAACGACTTTTGTCGAAAAAAGCTATTTTTAAGCCGTCGGCAAATGATTTTTGTTAAAAAACTAATTTTTAAGAGGTGGGCAAACGATTTTTTTTTAAATTCTTAAATTTTAAGAGGTGGGCAAACATGGGCAGTTTTTATTTTTTCGAAAAAACTATTTTTAAGGGGTGGGCAAACGACTTTTGTCGGAAAAATTAATTTTTAAGAGGTGGGCAAACGTTTTTTGTTGAAAAAACATATTTTTAAGAGGTGGGCAAACGATTTTTTTTTAAATTCTTAAATTTTAAGAGGTGGGCAATCATGGGCATCTTTTATTTTTTTGAAAAAACTATTTTTAATGGGTGGGCAAACGACTTTTGTCGAAAAAAGCTATTTTTAAGCCGTCGGCAAATGATTTTTGTTAAAAAACTAATTTTTAAGAGGTGGGCAAACGATTTTTTTTTAAATTCTTAAATTTTAAGAGGTGGGCAAACATGGGCAGTTTTTATTTTTTCGAAAAAACTATTTTTAAGGGGTGGGCAAACGACTTTTGTCGGAAAAATTAATTTTTAAGAGGTGGGCAAACGTTTTTTGTTGAAAAAACATATTTTTAAGAGGTGGGCAAACGATTTTTTTTTAAATTCTTAAATTTTAAGAGGTGGGCAATCATGGGCATCTTTTATTTTTTTGAAAAAACTATTTTTAATGGGTGGGCAAACGACTTTTGTCGAAAAAAGCTATTTTTAAGCCGTCGGCAAATGATTTTTGTTAAAAAACTAATTTTTAAGAGGTGGGCAAACGATTTTTTTTTAAATTCTTAAATTTTAAGAGGTGGGCAAACATGGGCAGTTTTTATTTTTTCGAAAAAACTATTTTTAAGGGGTGGGCAAACGACTTTTGTCGGAAAAATTAATTTTTAAGAGGTGGGCAAACGTTTTTTGTTGAAAAAACATATTTTTAAGAGGTGGGCAAACGATTTTTTTTTAAATTCTTAAATTTTAAGAGGTGGGCAATCATGGGCATCTTTTATTTTTTTGAAAAAACTATTTTTAATGGGTGGGCAAACGACTTTTGTCGAAAAAAGCTATTTTTAAGCCGTCGGCAAATGATTTTTGTTAAAAAACTAATTTTTAAGAGGTGGGCAAACGATTTTTTTTTTAAATTCTTAAATTTTAAGAGGTGGGCAAACATGGGCAGTTTTTATTTTTTCGAAAAAACTATTTTTAAGGGGTGGGCAAACGACTTTTGTCGGAAAAATTAATTTTTAAGAGGTGGGCAAACGTTTTTTGTTGAAAAAACATATTTTTAAGAGGTGGGCAAACGATTTTTTTTTAAATTCTTAAATTTTAAGAGGTGGGCAATCATGGGCATCTTTTATTTTTTTGAAAAAACTATTTTTAATGGGTGGACAAATTTTTTTTCGGACAAGGCTGTTTAAAAGCCGTCGGCAAACGTTTTTTGCTAAAAAATCATATTTTAGGAGGTGGACAAACGAATTTTTTTTTAGATTCTGAAATTTTAAGAGGTGGGCAAACATGGGCAGTTTTTATTTTTTCGAAAAAATTGTTTTTTTGCCTTCGGCAAATGATTTTTTATTGGGTAAAAAGTTATGAAAACTTAAAAGTTCAATATTTTTTAAAGTTTTTACTTTTTCAAAATTCTAAAAGGTGGGCAAACGTGGGCAAACGATTCTCTTGCGATTAAAAAAAAAAAAATTTAAAAAAGTCAACTTTTATGTTTTCGAAAATCTTCGAAAATTTTCGAACTTCCCATATTTTCAAAACTGGAGGTGGGCAAAAAAAACTAATTGGTGGGCAAAAGTGGGCAAAAAATGGGCAAACGATTCCGCTTTTCAAATTTCGAAAATTCGATTTTAGTCGACCCAACTTCTTTGAGCTGTGTAATACTCCTACTTTTGTCATGGTCTTATAACTGACATAATAAAGACATTTCAGCATATGACAATCTTTAGTCTAAACGCACCGAAAGTCAAGAGATAATGATGTATGAACAAATGGAGGGAGTAGCCGAAAATCAAGGTTGGGGAATACCATATTTGGTGTAATTAGGAATTTCAATTGAAGAAGTTGTCATGCCATTAATAATTATTCATGCAAAAGTAGTATACAAGCAATTAAGACTGACAATTAATTTGCTTAAAAATTAATTTACAAAATACGGTAAATTAAGATTTTTAAGGCAGAAAATAAAAATATTTTATACATTTTTGTTTTTTAACCCATGATTTCAATGGCAAATTTGTACGATTTTTAATTGTTGTTTTAAATTGTGACTTAGACATATTTTAACTGTGAGGTATACAACAAGTTATTATTTAACTTTGTTAATTTCTTAGTATTAGTTTTAATTAAGAAAAAGTTGCACTCCTGCCGATGGTTAGTTACCGTAACTTGACCAAACTTCCATGGGTGAATGTTAATGCCAGATGGATTGGATAATATCCCCCGTAAGGTCAACGTAATTTGACTTCTATTCACGCCTGCCAGCGATGGCCATTGTAGTTGGTAAGTCAGCTGTCAACGAATGCGGTTTGTTGTTTTTTTTTTCTTATTTTACCGCCAGCCAAATGAAAGTGAAAACCCGATGCAATGAACTCTTCGCGGGAGGATGAAACTGTGGAGCATGCAACTCCTACAACATAAGTTGCAAGTTGCAGTCAATAGGGAAAGCAGCAGCTGCGTTAGAAAAATTCAAATTATGCGACAACGGAGCCATTCAAGTGTGGCCAAGAGGCCACAACAACAAAACCGGCAACAATATCAAGTGACAATCATAAAGAAAGAAGAAAGACAACAAAAAAGTAGTTAAATAAAAATAATAAGCTTTGCTGCTACTTTTTCTCATTACGTTTTATCGGCAGCTATTAAAGCCGCAAAATCTTGGCGACATTTCGTAATGAGGCTTGGAAAGGGGGCTTTAGACATATCAAATTGCCAGTGGATTTGCATGCCCAAGACAAAAGGCCATAAACTTGTTGATTGTCAGTTGGCATGGCTGCCAATTCCAAAACGAAATTCGGATATACCTCCCCCTTTGACTGGGAAATCGCCACCCAAAGCCCAATCATTAAATCGTGGCCTGACCTTTGCAATCAGTCGATTTCGATTCGAACGCCCTAATGAACGCTCTTGGTCCGACAAACATAAACATATAGGAGCGGAAAAAAACAACGCACAATAATTCTACAGCTAATTACAGTTTAGGCCAAGACCTTGTTAGCTTTTCTTTAAACAAAAGTTTTGCTTTCGATGTTTACGCTTGAGTTTTCAGCGGAATCGGTGTGTGATTATGGCATATTTGCTTGAGAACGAATTCAGGAAATATTGTGATTGTTCGATAAGGTCAGAGGTGGAATGTGCTGATGACTGATGACGGCAGAGACCTTCAAATTAGGAGAAGTGAAACTTGGCTTTGGGAAAATTTTAAGGGTAAAGGAAATATAGGGAATTTCATATAATTACACGGGATGTATCGAAACAATTAAGGGACAAATTAATGTATCAAAGAAAAGGGAACGCCGTTAATATAACAAGTTTTTGGTTTAATCTATATTATTTTTTTTTCTTTTAAAAGAATCTCATAAAAATAAATGTTTTGAGTTTGGGAAATTTATATCAAATATTCAGAAATGCGTTGTGATTAAATATATGATTTATACCAAGAAATCGATTGATGGTAATAAGTTTATAGGATTATTTTAAATCTGACGTTTAAGATTTATATTTATTCATAGTGGATTTGAAGATTGGGAATAAATTTGTTGAAATTTCATAATAAAATGTAATAGTGTTCCTCAAAAAAATGTGAATTCTTTTGCGGCTTTAAATAGCGTTTTTTTTGCAGGTGTTTAAATTTTAATAATAAAATATTAGAAAACTGAAAAAAATGTGGTTTTCATAAACTCTCCAGCAGAGTAACCCTAATAAAACTTTCAATTCGGCTTGATGTCCGCTGCTGAACTCGTTGAGACACTTAATAAATGTTACATGTGCCCCCTTTCAACCACTTACACCTCCCCAACTCTCCCCCCTTATCACCCTTATCAATGCCAAATTAAGTTTGCTCTCCAATCTCAGCCCACACACGAACAACAAACGATTCGAGCACTTTTCGCACATAAATCAAGTTGACCTTAAAAAATCAGCGAAACAAAAAAAAACTTTGTCATAACATGGCAACAACAAAAACTGCAAGACGTAAAAGGAGGCGAAGAGTTTTTGGGAGGAGAAAGGAGTGGGGAGGCTGTCAAGGCTACGTGACAAACAACAAGGTGACATAAATATCCAGTTGCTCCAAAAAGGAAATTAAATTTTTTTCTTTTTTTGCTAAGGCAACATAACAAAGTGCAAGGAGATGGGCATGTGGAGCAGAGTAAGAGAGAAAACGGAGACACGTTCCAAGCAATGAAAACATAAAGTGATACAGTGGACACTCGAATAGAAAGCACCCTGTAACTGAAGTTCTTTCCCCTAAAATATCAAGACACATTTTTGGAATTTAAGTATAAGAAAATTACCGGCATCAACCTAGAAAGTTTATTACATCGAAACTTCTTTTGTTGTTGATGCCATTTATTCTTTAATTATTGTGATATTTCTTTAAGTTTACTGATCATGGTTTTGCTTATTACACAATAGTAATAATAATATTAATTTTAATAAATTGTACTTGAAATGTTTAGATTGTTCGTATTTTCTATTTATTAAAGCATAATTAATTTTTTCTTTAACAACAGCCAGATTCTTCCGTTTCGATTGCAAATACTTTAAATTTGTAAGCGGACAAAAGCCCAGAACTTTTATAAAATCCTTTGGCTCGTCATTTAACTTAAAAAATATTTACGGTTCGGTATATTTCTAGGTAATTAAGAAACTCCTGGAAAAACAAGGAGTTCCCTGTTAAAGTAGTGTTCACTGTACTAACCTGCTGGTGTGCTGGCTGGTGTGTCGGTTGCATTGGCCAGGGCCAGACGAGATTGAGATTCCTGGCGGATTGTGGATGTTGAGGGGGGTATGGCGGGGGATGGTTAGGTGGCGGCGGGGAGAGCAGCTGTTTAGCGGCGTGATAGAGTTTCATATTGGCTGTGTGACGTCGTGCTGGAAGAGCAGGGGGCGGGGTGGCGCACGGTGAATCCTGTTCTCTTTCTCTTTCTAGCGATTCCTGATTCTCCAGTTGTTGTTGTTGCTGTTGTTGCTTGGCCTCGTTTGTCGGCGGCTTCTTGGGCAATGTCAAGGAATTGTTGTTGCTACCGTTCCCATTGTTGTTGTTATTCAGCGAAAGCGAACGCGCAAAAGAACTTTTGAAATAGCGACACGGCATCTGGAAATCAAAGTCAAGATCCGTTGCCTGCTGCATATTTGCTGTTGTTTTTTGCATATCTATTGCCCAAATAGGAATTTTTTATTTATACTTATGTATGTTATATGCGTGGTACCTATTTCTTCTTGTTTTCCTTTTCGGTCTGTTTTAAATTGGCATTGTTGTTTGTTTTCCTTCTCTTGTTTTCCTTATGGATTATTGCATTTTTTCACGCATAAGCTCACTTTCACACACTCACACTCAAATCAATTGGTTTTTGACACCCGAGCGATTTTTTCCAGTACAATTTAATAGAAATTCATTGGAAATCAATTTCAATTTTTGCGATTTATTTGCGCGCGCGCACAAACCAATTTTCATAAAAAGGCGCAGCGATTTTACCTTGCGACCGAACTGTTGAGCTTTTTTCCGGAGAATGAGAAAAAATTCAAAATATAATCGGTGGGAAAGAAGAAACAGAGAGAGCAAAGTAACCAAGGCAACAGAGTCCAAACCAATAACAGTATTGCTTCTTAACATTGCAGTGATCATTTTCAACACACACATAAAAGTAGGCTATAGATTTCATGTAAAATAAATAATACATCACAATTTGACAAAAAAAAATTTAAAAAATATATTGTTGGATTGGGAAGCAATTTCATAGAATTAAAAACAAATAATATTTAATGAAAATGCAATTTATAAATGTCGGGTTGTTAACCTTTTTAATTAATAAACAAATTATAAAATTCAACATTTTACTATGTATAAAATACATCGGTAGATAAAAATTGTTTATAGGTGGCTCTGCCCTTCAATGATCGACGGCGAAATGTAAGACTATTCGTCTTCGTAGATAATATGTATAAATGGTATCAATAATTATAGAGCTATTGTCTTAAAATGTTTTATGAATTTATGCAACTATAAATAATTATAAATATTTAAGTATATATGTATATATATATGTATTAAAAAAAATGTTTACTTTTAAAAATACACTAATACTTTACTTGATAAAAACCCACTATACTACAACTACAATTTATTTAAAACAGAAAGGTGCAAAACACTAATTTAGTGAATAAAATGTTTTGAAATCAAACCTTAAATGATTGATAATAAATAAAAATAAATCATTTTTTACTAAGAGTAATATAAAGTCGTAATATTGAACTAAAAAGGCAAATAACAAAATATTTTCAATGGAACTCATAATATCACTTAAGCCATCGAAATTTTAAATGAGCATTTGCTTCCATCCAAAATCGAACCCTCCGTTTCCTCAGCTGTGTAATACCCGGACTAATTCCCATACCTTATGTGGTATCTAAACTGGGGGGACAGGTTGCCAATCAAATTGATTGTGTTGCGCTGATGTTTGTCCCTGTTTATCAAGCTTAGGTGCAAGGATTTTTCGGCCTTATCATAACAGAAGTGATTAAGTACCCTTTGATGAAATGCACATATGTGAATACATAAGGCTGAATTTAAAAATTTCCTCGAAAGTCTAATATCGCTGATAGACTGATAAGCTTTTATTTAGTTATTCAGTGTCCAAGATGAACCTTTTAATATGTTATTGAACTTATGTTATTAAATTAAAAAAAAATACTAATTATCGTTTGTGAGAAAGTTTTTATGAAACACAACTAATTAAGGTCAAATATTATTAACTTTATTAATCTCAACCCCAAAGAAGATTAGACAAATCCTTTTGCAACTTGAAACGCTGCCCCAAAAATAGAAATAAAGCGATTAGTCAGCATCGGTCGTAGTCGCATAGTGGGTACTTAGTATAGATTTCTATTTTTAAGGCCCCACGAGACACTGTTGCCATGTGCGCATGCCTCTGCGACTCTCCGTTACATAAGGCTTATATAAGCGGGCCATGCGAGCGAGCGGGATGGTCCTACATGACATGGCGCTCTCCCCAATTAGTCCTCTCTCGTTCTGCCCTGCTGAAATGGCTCCAGCAAAGATTGCGACCACGTGATGCGATCCACCGGCTGCAATGAAAAGAGAGTGAAATAGAGAGAGACTAGTACTTGAAGTTGCTCTTGTTTTGATTTTCAATTTATGTTCCATGCTCCCCCGCGCCGCAATGGAAATGATTTAATCTTTTCGAAAATAGTTTCAGTTACGCGTTGTTGCTGAGACCGTGTGAAGCGGTAATCGTTTTTTAGGATTGGCAATCGATAGAGGGAGAGCGTGCAATGAGCGAACCCAGGGAGAATATCATGGATTTATCCGTGCGAGGTAAGTGCCTAAGTATGTAAGCACCTGTCCCCTCCATTCCCCTCTATCCATCTCTTAAAACAACAAAAGAAAAGAAACACGTGCACTAGTGAGAGTGCGAATCGGTTTTGTTTGCTCTGCCTCTCACTCACTCTTTAAGGGGGAATAAGAGAGAGCGAGTGAGGGTGAGAGAGCGATGGGTGGGCGTGTGATAGTAAGCTTTTGCATGGTTTTTTTTTTTTTGCTAGTGCTAAGCCCCCATGTGACAAATTATTTGATTTTGTCTACTGATTGCCACAAATTGGTTTTTTTGATTTTGTTTTTATGTTTTTTTAATTTATACGGTGATTTTTGTTTGCCATTAGGCGAAGCCTTAAACAAATAGAGGCTAGTGTACGAAAACGCAAAACAATTTTGGCGGGAGGTGGCTATAGTCGGTAATTGCGTTCGGGTTTCAAGTGATACGTCACTAGATATAGTGGATCACAGACAACTCTTAAGCTTTGAAAAGACCTAAAAATTTATACTAGAACTTTGTCATTTACCTATTAAGTTTCAAAATTCATTCGTTTTAAAAATAGCAACGCCTCAAAAACAAAATTTTAATTGTTTTAATGTTTTAACTTTTGCTAAATGAGATATAAGTTGAACATGTTCCATAGCCTTAAGTTTTTTATTTTCTTACCATTTCTGAGAGCAAATAAAAGTGAAATTTCCTATCATCGTGATTCATTTTTATTATTTAAGTATCATGTTTTGTGTAAGGTAGTGTCATGCTTATTATTAAACAACGATATTTCATGTAGTATCACACTGTAACAGCTCACTGTACTATCTGGCGAATAAATAATTCAGAATTTACACAGTATGCTGTCATTAATTAGTGCAGTCCAGATGCCGACTAATTGATATATTGTGAACCCGCTCCAGGAAATAACCCTTCCCAGCCCCGGCTATTTAACCACTCCACCAAACGACTTCCCCCGAGATAAGCCCGTATATACCCACCCGATCACCTGCGATCGATATGCATAGCACTTCGATACAAACCAACAACTGACCCCGTTGGATCTTGCGTCGGCATTTACGGTCTTTGATATCAGACTAATCAAATGTTGGGAAGCTCGATAAAATACTATTGATTTTTTAAGTCCATTCCCACTAAGAATTCTTCGGTTGCCATGATGAACTGCTGTCCAGAATTGGTGAAATAGAAACGACGACGTCGTCGTCGCCAGTTGTCGCCATCCCACAATCACAATCAATTGCACTGTCATTGTGTCGCCGGATTCGTTATCAGGAGAAAAGGAAAGACGAGGTTACCAGGCGACTATAAATATTTACCCTCATGATATAGTTGGGCCGCATAAAAAGTGAGTTGTGGCTGTGTGGCTGGTGATTATGATGATTATGGTGGGGATGGAGCCAGAGGGCGAGTTTAATTTTAAGAGTTTACGGCAAAAGCACACAGTTGCATCGCTCACGTTTAGAAAATGGGCCTGATAAACCCGACCATGTAATAAACGCCTTTTATTCAGTGACTTTTAGAAATAACTGTAAGACACTTGTCATTTAATTTTATTAGTGTTAAATTGTGAATATATAATATTATAGAACAAGGCAGAAACTTTTTTATATTTTCTTTTAGCTTTTTAAGTTGAAATTTTGAATAGAATTTTAAAATATTTGTCTTTATTTATGATTGTATTTGTCACAAATAAGGTCTTACAATTTCTTTGATTATTAAAAAAGCTTACTATAGCTGGCATTTAATTTCAAAATCTTAAAAAAAATTAATTTACAGAACTTAAACTTTGAATTTAAAGATCCTTAATTTCCCGCTGTGAACTTGCTTGTACCCTAATATTTAACATTTTCTAGTTACTTCTCTGACCGTTCGACAAAGCTCTCTACAAAAGCTCAAGAGAGTGCCCCTCAATCGTGTTCTCCATATAAAACTGGCTCTCCCCTATCTGCAATTCGGTTTTTTTTTTGCGAACCGATCACATGGTCAAGTTTTCGTGGCTGAGTTAGAAGCTCCAAGTTCCATTTCCATTCACTGATCCGTCTGATAAGATCGCAACGCACGCATCTGGGCGTGGAAGCTTTGACAATGCGAAAATTAAATAGTTGACACCAAACACCAAAACAATCTCTGTATTTGGCAGTTTGGGAGGCTTATCGACAAGCCATTATCTTGTATAGTACCACTAATCTGTTCCCAAAATCGGGTCACTAAACACGCGACTAACGTAGCCTTGCCACGCGCCCCTCTTTAAACAAAAAAAAAAAAAAACGTGTCTGAGCAGTTTTGGAAAATTTCTAAGCAATCTAAGTCAGTCGTTTTTTCGGTCAGTCTTGCTAGTGGAATTGGAAGTCGACTTGGACAGCCAGTGGCGTGATGATAAAAACATATAGTATAGCGATGCCAGGGCGTTTGTCTTCAACCGATCGGGGAACGGTACAGTCCTCATAGTGTCATAAATGGAATTGCCTTCAGATTAGATTCTCCAACTGCTGGCATATATTCGATAAAGAGGGTTTATGAAGTCAGTCTGATAAACTACGTTTTTGACATTTCGTCACTTACTATTTTTAGCGGTTTATTAATTGACAAAATGACACCCAAATAAATCATGCACTGCAACTATATAATTAGAACCCCTATAAAAAGCAGCACCTACAGAAACATTGAAATATAGAAATTATTTTTCTAAGGCTTATTAAAATGTTAACCTTTTCAGAAAAACGGAGATCTTAAATAAAATGATCCAAGACTTGTACTATACTTATCAACAAAGGGGTTTAATAATTGATTTTTTGATTTAATAAAAGCTAATTGTTTTTCAAGCCATAAAAAAAAATTGCTTGATTTATTTGGTTAAATATGAGTAAATATGAAATTAAATAATAAAATATTAGCCACATTAAAATGGCCACAAAAAGTTACTATTTTAAAGGCTTAAGAAAATCTTGTTAAATAATGCATAAGAGCTGACTTTTTTAGTTTGCAATCATAAAATAGTACTTAGTCAGTGCAGATTCATAAAAAAATTCCACAAGCTTTCACGGAAATGAGTAAATGCTATCAGTCATGGTTAAACAAATTATGATTTCAACTGCTCTGCAAAATTTTAAATACACAATATTTCTTAGCTTTGACTGACTCTCAAGCATTATGTTGATT